CTCTGCTTCTTCTTTTTCTTCTTCTCCAACTATTATCATTACAAGCTTTGGAATTATAATTTCTCACAAATCATATGATATTTCTCACAGAGGTCAACAATCAAACACTTGGTCAGCCCCCACGTGGCGTACAAGCATCGCCTTGCCCCAGTCAGCACCACGCCGCCTTCTCCCGCCTTTCTCACGAGCGACATTTGAAGAGTTTCGATCAGATTATTTCAATGATTATTTTATGTTTATGTGTATTTTATGTTAAGTAGAATTTAATATGAGACGAAAAATGAGAATTTTTTTTTTCGGTTGATTATTTGTTTATGTTTTTTGGGATATTCATTTTTTTACGAAAACTTGGTGTGCTTGAATCCGTTTTGACGAATAACTTGTTGTTGTTTTGGTGTTCATTTTTTTGTTGGCGAATAACCTGTTGTTGTGTTTAGCTATGATTGAATCCTTCTTAGAAGATAACTGTTGAACACTTAGGAATCCTTCATTTTTTATGTTTTAGTATATGTAGAGTGTATGTAACACCCCGCTTTTCCATAAATATCAGAGTGCATTTTTCGCAAACTTTTCTTAACAATACATATTTATTTGCGAAATCCTTTTCGGGATGCTACTAAAAACCATTCATTGCTTTCAGAATCCGTTATATTTATTAAAACTTAACTTTGAAGAATAAACGGATTAATTTAGATCAACTGGCATGTAGCACTTTATAAAAGTCTGTCTGATAACTCAGTTTAAAAATAAAAACTGACATGCTAGTTGAAATATCGTAAAGTGACAGCGGAAATCATACGAGGTAAAACATAGCTGTACAATAATGTACAATGGCTGCTAGCCATATCTCTGACCACGATCCACAAACCAGCTCACTCCTCTCGTCCGACGCTGTTCCTGAAAAACATGATAAAACTGGGGAGTGAGCACTAAGGCACTGTGCTCCGTGGAAACTCATACTAATGTAAACATTAATAATAATTGCAACATCATGATTTAAAGCATATACAACTGAACTGTCATGTCATGTACTGTAACTGCGATCAACCGTAACTGCTACGGGATCGAATGTTGTATCTGGCGGCTATAATACGCTGCGCCGCGCCTATGTGCACACTCTAGTGGGCAGATTACGCCACTAGAACTCAGATGGTCTTACTTTGTCTAGCCTCACTGAGCAGGAACTGAATGTACATACCTTGAACATGATAACTGTAATTATATTCAATGTAATACTTAGTCTGAGTCCCCACCTGAACTGCTGATCTGAAAATGTAAGTGCTGATATCTGCATCCTGATCAAACTGAAAATAATATAAACAATTACTAATTGCTATGCTCAGACTGATAAAATAACTGATTAACATGTTAAGATGCTCTACTGGACTTAAACAGGATATCTGAAACTTAACCAGTATAACCGGAATTGACTAAACTCGGAACCGGACTAACATGAATTTACTGAACTGGACCGGACCCGGAATTTAACTGAAATTGGGGCATGAACATGAACCGGGACTTAAATACAGTGGCTGAATTATATAAAATACGAACTAAACTGTACAAATTGGGACTGGAATACTGAAACATATGCTGGACCGGTCTACACCGGTCAACTCTCAGCCTGAACCGGTCTGAACCGGACTGCCGGTCGGCTGAACCGGGCAGTCGAGGTTGCCTCGGTCAGCAGGTCTGCCGAGGCTGCGCGCGCGGGCGCTACGTGACTCGTGTTGCTGGGCGCTATCGCGCACTGCAACAGGTGACTGAGCACATGGACACACGCATAGGCGCTAGCTGGCGTGAACGGTTACCGCGCGGCGCTACT